CTCCAACTTCACACCAACTGGCCAACCAGCCACAGGAATTCCGTCATCACAACTACGCAGACATGGAGCTGTTTCTACGGAAGTACAGCAGCGAGTTTCCTTCTATTACCCATCTTTACTCTATTGGACAGTCTGTAGAAAAGCGTGAGCTGTATGTGATGGTCATCTCAGACAACCCTGACACTCATGAGCATGGTATGTGATGATATTTGATTTAATGTTTTATTTTTTTATACCAGTAAATCTTGAAAAACATCAAATGCAAACCAGAGAGCATCATTCTATCTGTTACACTCTCCCAGGTGAGCCAGAATTTAAATATGTGGCCAACATGCACGGCAATGAAGTGGTGGGTCGCGAGTTAATGCTCAACCTCATAGAGTACCTGTGTCGTAACTATGGTACTGACCCGGAGGTCACCGAGTTGGTCAACAACACCCGCATTCACATCATGCCTTCGATGAATCCCGATGGCTACGAGGTAGCTGAGGAAGGTAAGTAAAGGGGTCGTGTGCATATTCTGTAGAGTTCTTTACAGGCTTTACTTATGGCTTTTGGATACGTAAGGTGTAACCTTACAGGCCTTAAACAGTAATTTGACTAAACGTTCCTTGAGTCTGTGGCAACTATTAAATTACTACCTTTGCTAATGAAACTGCATTACAAACTGACCACACCACATTGGTGTATACTTGATATCTTTAATGGTCACAAAGAAAGAAGCAATTGACCCTGGAGAGAGACATATGAGGAGTAGCTGTTCTTCTCGGCAGAATTATATTATCTCCTTCCACGCTCTGTCGTCTGTGTTAAAATAGCTTTCATTTCCCTTTGTGAGCACGTGAGTGTCCACAAAAGGAAGTGTATGAAGTCATACATAAGTGTCTGACTTAAGGGAAAGTTTGACAGGGCATATCCTCTGTTTGCTAACAGCTACTGTTGTTTGCCTAAGGAAGTGTTGTGGAGGAGGAGCCGAGGCTGTGCATATGCTGTGGTTACGGATGCATGTAGATGGCTGCTCACCGATGTTTGTTTCCTGACAGGTGATACAAATGGCTACAAAGGGCGTAACAACACCAACAATTTTGACCTGAACCGCAACTTTCCTGATCAGTTCGCCAACATCACAGAACCCAGACAGCCAGAGACTAAAGCTGTGATGAAATGGCTGAAGAGCATCCCTTTCGTCCTGTCAGCCAACCTCCACGGAGGCACGTACTGTACAGTGGTGTTTCAGTGTCGCTGCCAGCTTTTGAATGTGGTGATCTGCTAAGTGTTGTTAAAATTTGTAAATATTTTCTATGTTTTATGGTTATGACCTTTAGTGTTTTTAGTGACGAAAAATAATTTTATGTTCACAGACTACGTTTTCTTTCCTACCCACAGATTCAGATATTATTATTCGTGTGTGTGTGTTTTACGCTGTATTATTTTTGTTGTGCAATTCAGGGTCCTTGGTGGTCAACTACCCCTTTGATGATGACAAAGATGGGAATAGTTACTACAGCAAGTCGCCTGATGACGAGGTCTTTCAGAGGGTCTCTAGAGCCTACTCACAGGTAACTGGACACCGTTTGCTGTAGGAGCTGTTTGAGCCTGATGCTTATAGTTTCAACTTTTAGTACTAATGGAAGCTCATTGAAATCTGTGGAATGACTGTTTGAAAACTTGATGACAACAGTGATCATTGTTTGGTTTTACTTGTATGCAGGAAAATCCTCTGATGCACCAAGGACACCCTTGTGAGGACCTGTACCCTAATGACTATTTTAAGGATGGCATAACCAATGGTGCCCAGTGGTATAGTGTTCCTGGTATGCTTACACCTTTCATTAATTTTGGCATACTTCATGTTTTTAAAAATTCACAAAACCCTTTTATATAAGAGTTTAGCCTTAATTAAGATCTACTTGAATTCTTCCTGGCAAAGATTAAGCAAGAAAGGCATTAATGATGCCTTCACAGATATACCCCATGTTATGTGCACTTCTGCTGCTATACTGTCAAGTATGCCGCCCTTAAGATGTGCGCTGATACCAAGCTGGGTGGTCTTTCTCCTTCTTAGCCTGGGGTACTCTGCTTTCAGTTTTTACAGAGAAGATTTCAGTTTTTTGTTGGTAAGACCTGAGGGATAGTTTTCTACTTTGCCCTCAGTATGTCTTTAGTAACCGAGTGGTCAGCTATTTGCATGAGAGAGTGTTGGCACTGCATCAGTAGTAGTTAAACTATGTTTTCTGGCAAGAGGGCAGGGAAAAAAAGTGTTCCTGAGACAACGCAGTGCAGCCTAAAGGCACTATGGTGACTTGTAGTTCTAAAGTAGGTTTTGGCCTCGTCACCGGAATAAAAGAAATTGTGATTTTTATTCTATCAATGTGTAAATTGTATATTTTTAATGTAGAAAAGAATTCCCTAATTTTTATATTTTTCACAATAACTTTTTTAAAATTATTTTTTTATGTTCTATTAGGAAATTGTCAGATTATTTACCCACACAGGTTCTTGATATGACTCTAAAAAGGAGTGCATGTTTTTTCCAGGTGGCATGCAAGACTGGAACTACATAAACACAAACTGTTTCGAGGTGACAATTGAGCTGAGTTGTGTCAAATATCCTCTGGCCAAGGACCTCCCAAAATACTGGGATCAAAACCGGCGATCCTTGCTTCAGTTTATACACCAGGTAGTAAACATAGATCTCAACATTATCCTGAGCCTTCAGCGTAATTTTGCATTCACTCATGTTTTTGTGGGCATTTGCGTCTTTAGGTTCACACTGGCGTGAAGGGCACAGTTTCAGATATGTGGGATGGTACGGGAATTCCCAATGCCACCATTAGTGTCGAGAAGATAAACCACAAGATCACTACAGCTAAGACTGGAGATTACTGGAGATTGCTGGTCCCTGGGACTTACGCTATCACTGCCTCTGCTCATGGGTAACAGCTTTATTCAGAAGGAAAAACACAGTAGCCACATGAAATCTAGTTTCAGTATGTTTTTATCTTATTGTGACCTTTATTTCTGTTATTCTGTTATGTTGTCTAGTTATAAGCCTGTGACGATCTACGCCACAGTCTCAAAGGATCGAGTGGAGGTGGTGGACTTCAGACTGACATCTGTGCGCTCAGAGGGTAACCGTCATTCATCCAGTGGCCCCCGACCCACACAGAACCCATCTGAGAAGGAGTTTCAGAACTTAATCAAGGAGCTCTCTGTAGGCCAGGGTTTGGATGAGTTGGTGAAAAACACAGCCACCGAGAGCAACTTCCGCTACCGACCCTCCAAAGAGATGTCGGCTTTCTTGAGAGGCCTCACGCTTAACTTTCCCCACATTACATATTTACACAGGTAAGAAGATTTTATTTTCCCCTAAACTGAGTTTGAACCAGTCTTTATTTTACTGCAGTGACCTATATTGTTTCTTTTTTTTTCTTTTCTATGTCCAGCCTGGGCCAGAGTGTGGAGTATAGGACCATATGGGCTTTGGAAATCTCTAACAAACCAGGAGAATCTGAACCGTCCAAGCCAAATATTCGCTTTGTAGCAGGGATCCATGGTAATGCCCCAGTGGGGACAGAGCTGCTGCTGGAGTTTGCTGCCTTCTTGTGCATCAACTATGGCAAAAACCCAGCCATCACCAAGGTGTGCCTTAAGACCTCTTTATGATTATAACAACAGCATTTTTATCAGCTCTTTTTGGCTTTAAGGGACTTTAAGCTTGATTTATTTCTCAATGAACATTTAGTACCTGTGAATATATGACTGTAATTGTTCCTTATCTTTCTCCAGCTGATCAACGAGACTCGCATATTCATTGTTCCTTCTGTAAACCCTGACGGACGAGAACAGGCTGTTGAGAAGCAGTGCAAATCTACCCAGGGCTTGACCAACGCTCATGGCAAGGACCTGGACACAGACTTCTTTGGTCAGTTGTCTTGATTTCTGCATGTGTGAAGCTGAAATGAAAAACAGATTTAAAAGATCAGCTCTTCAAGTCAAGATTTCTTTTGAATGTAAAAAAGAAATGGTTGACATTTACAAAAGACAAAAGAAAAAAGATTGTCCAACATCTCTTTTTTTCTGTCCTCTTTAACAGGCAACGCGTCACAGCGTTTGGTGGATCCCCAACCTGAGACCAGAGCGATGATGAACTTCATTCAAAGCCACCGCTTCACTCTGTCTGTAGCCCTTGATGGAGGCGCCCTTGTTGCCACTTATCCTTATGACAAGCCTGTCCAGACTGGTAATACCACTATGACAAGAAACAAAAAGTATATTGTGTATAAAAATCTGAGAACAGGATAGCTCTTTGCTGATGCTGCATGAGTGCAACGTGACATTGGGCACCACTTTTCACACATATGAGATTCAGGAAACATTAAAATTAAATTGAGTTTGGAGAAAGTGACATGTGAATGAGACAAACATCCCTTGTGGGCCTTTTCAGAAACCCAACAACGCTTGCTGTAGCTCATCATGGATGACACTGTGTGCAAGATTTACTGAACAGGGAAAAATAGCATGTGACCCAATATCCAAATGGCGCTCATAGGTGTTGTTAGTTTTATGGGTGATTTACAAAAGATTCGCACTGTTTTCCAAACACGGGGGTGGTCAGTGCCTTTCAGTATCAGTCACAAAAAACAAGCACGTCAGTGTATGTGGGCCTATGTATAGGTTGAATGCTGACTGGTTGAAAACTAGGCTGGAAAAATGAAAGCGGTCAAGACACCTTGGAGACTAAGATATCAAAGTTTAAAAAAATACAGAAGGTGAAGCACAGATTGTTGCTGCAGTGGACACTTTTCATTGTTTTATCACTCTGTTTCACTTCAGCTCTTTGTCATCTTATAACTTTGCTCCTCTCTGTCGCTGGCAGGACCAGCAAGCGCACAAGTGAGAGCAGCTCACAGACCAGTTGTTTGTGACACTGCCCCCTGGTGATAGTAAACATGTAACTGATGGTCTGTAGAGCTGATCGCAGAACCATGTTTTCCCCATTGCAGGCAGATAAATAAATCATTTGAAAACAGTTTCCTTAAAATCGCTGGTTTCACTGTTTAATTATTAAATCAGTTATTTTGTTTTTCAGTTGACAATGAAGGCACCTTGAAGTATTTGGCAACTGTCTATGCCAGCAATCACCCCAAAATGCACCTTGGGAACACTGAATGTTCAAATAATGGGCAGAGTAAGTCATACAACTGCAACATATTCTTGTCATGTCGGTCATGCAAATAAGTGGTTAATGGTGAAGTTTTGCTTTACTCATTAGGCAACATCCCAGATGGAGTTATGAGAGCAGCGGAGAGACAAAGTCATCTGGGAAGCATGAAGGTAAGTGTGTGTCTGTGCTGTCATTTTCTGTAACTAAGGTGGCATCCGTCATGTCATTGTGTACAATCTAAAAACAAAAGGCACTACTTCATATTTTATCGGAAATGGAGTCAAGAGTGTTTGTTTTGAAAACTTCCTTGACAATTCTGAGAATCTTGAAGTTCTTTTGGAGTTATTGATCAATGAAAATGAGAAGTAAAGCATAGGAAATACATCAGCTTATGTCCACATCTCCTTTCTAGGACTTCAATATGGACTTTGGCCACTGTCCAGAAATCACAGTGTACACTGGCTGCTGTCTGTTTCCTCCCGCTGAGCAGCTGGCCACACTCTGGACTGAGAACAAGAAGTCTCTGCTAAGCATGTTGGTAGAGGTATGATGCATGATTTTATTAGGGAACTGCAGCGACATTGACATTTATTTATTTTAAACGTTATGGCTGCTGTAATACATAGTTTGTATTTTAATGAACTGTCCTACAGCCACGCATTTCTCTTTGTTTCTGCTCCTTCCAGATCCATAAAGGTGTGCGAGGCATAGTGAGAGACAAGAGTGGAAAACCAATTGTTGGGGCGATCGTTATACTGAACGGAGGAGTGAGACTGTTTACTGTGGAAGGCGGCTACTTCCATGCCCTGCTAGCTCCTGGCACTCACAATATTGAAGCAGTTGCTGAAGGCTACCAACGCCAGCGTCAGAAGGTACGCTCTTCAATAGAACGTACGCGCTCGCAGGAAGAATAATATAATAGTTTACTGCTGTACACACAGACGCACACACGGTAATTATTTGTTGTTCAGAAGTTTATCATGAGGAGCTTCATTTAAAACATTTGAAGCTTGTAGTCAAAAACATTAGAAATATGATTATTACAATCATCCCACACAAGGATTGCAGATGGACAAAATGAAGCAACATAAAGACACATAAATAAGAAAAACTCTACTACTACAGGTCTCATTTATGGTCTATATCTATGCAAGGTGTGGGACGTAGTAGACAAAATCTCTCCATCACCTCCACCTTTCCTTTTGGATGCTCTGCCATTTGAAGCATGGGGTAGGCCAGCTCTCTAAACAGATTTTCCTTGATGGTGTGTCCAAGCTCCAGACTGTAGGCTGTGAGCTTCCCGCATGGCTTAAAGAGCAAGGGATCCACCACTGAGTGATAAATCTGCTGGTAGTCTCGCACTGTGAAACCGTGGATCATGAGCTCGTCACTGGAGTTTCCCTCTTCAGTAGTGACAACTCTGTTGCTGCGTGGCAGGTCTAAAAGATCTGGAAGAGCGGCGGCATTCCTTATATATCTGTCATCCAAGGGTTTTTTGTGGTCCGTTTCTTTTTGCTCCCACACAAGGTGCAAATCGTAAGCTGGAGCCAGCAAATATTTTCTCTCCTTAATCGTCTCGCCATATTTCTTAGGACATCGAATGCTCTGCCTTAGACCATAGGGACGCATCTCATACCTCTGGAAAAAAGAGTGGTGTCAGTTTTGGTTGTGCCCCTTCAGGTTCTTTTGTGTGTTTATCATATATATTGCAACAAAAATATACTGTTACTGGGGGGGGAAGAAACCATTAAGGTACTTACTCCTTGGTGTATTTTCAGTCAACATCACTTAAAAAAGGTCTGAAAATGTGGTTTTAATCCTTAATTCCTGAACTATAAGTTCAGCTTTCCCATTTTTCTTTACACTGGATCGTAAAAACACTTCTTTGCTGCTGAAAACAATCAAGCAGGTTGCAAAAAGTAAGTCTTGAGATTCTTGTAATTTACCTCTGGGGTGAGTAAATTGAGATTTTTAGCACTTTTTCAAACATCAGACACAACCTGCACCAGATTATACAAAGCAGGCGCACCTGCGAGTAGCTCTTGCTGATTAGATAGTTAACAAGCCCAACTTCCAAGGAGCTTCAGCAGAGTGCTTAAAAACACTTTACCTCTCTGACAAAACAGTTCAATGTTTTCTTTTTGTTGCAAGTTTCAAGTCCTTTAATAAAAGGACCAAAAAAACCCCTAATGAAACTTTGAGGTCCAAATGCTTCAAATATCTTTTGAGTTGTTTGTGAAATCCTGGAAATCTGTTTGAAGAGCCTTGATTGACATGACCATCGACTTTCATTTTTTTAAGAAGCCTCTGATGACTACAGGAGAGAAGTGATTCTTATGTTTGACAACGTCCTGCTATCTAACTTTTAAATATTTCTGCTATCTTTTAGGTTGTGGTATCTTCCTTTGAAGCTGCTAACTCCATCATCATAGAGTTTGACATGGACAACAACATCTTTGGCCTTCCCAGAGAGTTTGTTGTAGCCAGTGCAGGTAAGCATGTCTTATAATGCAGCTTTTTGTCACCTGCTGAGAGCTGACGTCGCATGAATTATGCTCCTTGTTCATGAACAAGATAGATTTTCAGTGTTTCAGTAGATTATGTATTTCAAATTAAGTCTTAATGGTGCTAAAATCCACTGGCAGTGACTGTAGATCTCAGCTCTTTTGAGCAAGAGTGTAACTTTATTAAATTAAGAACAAAGTGTACATAATGCCAAGTCACGCGTGCATATTCTGTTCCTCCCCACAGCTGCCACCATGACAGCACTGGTGGTGACAGCGTGCATCATCTGGTGCGTGTGTGCCGCTAAGTCTAATCGCCAAAAAGATGGCTTCCACCGTTTGCGCCAACACAGAGACGATTATGACGACGAGGTCCGGCTCACCTCTATGGGCTCCAAAAAGTCCCTGCTTGCCCACGAGTTTCAGGACGAAAGCGAAAGCGACGAGGAGACGTTGTATGCCAACAAAATCTGAGGAACACAGCAAAAGTTTTTGTTTGCTCTGTGTTTTATTTGAAGCTCAGCCCCCTCCTCGCTGTCTCCCAAAGATCAAACCCCTGACCCACGAGGACCACCATGAACTTGACCTCCGTCTCTTTTTATGGCCAGTATGAAAGGGATGGAGACTGTTTCTGTTACACCAGTATATTCTGAGGACCCTCTCCCTGCCATCCTGTTGATGTCTGGACTGCAGGGGCTGCTTTTTTTTTCTTTTTCTCTGCCGATATCTCTGATCAACTTGTCAACATATGGAGCGAGGAAGAAATTGACAAAAGGAGGGTTAAAAGGTGGAAAGGTTCACTCCACCTTTGTCCTCATCCAGCCCTTATAGCAGCTTGCTGCTTTGTTTTGTTTTGTGTTTTTTGTTGTTGTTGTTATCCGAGCCATCCAAGAATCCTCTAAGACGACCACACATCCTGCCCGGCTGAGACATCAAGCCGAAATGTCCAAATAACTTTAGATAAAAGTGCGTTATTTTCCTTGTTTCTCTTCACTATTGTCTGTGAGCACCATGTATTTATTTTTATAACTGCTTTGAATTAGAAAGTAGGTTATTTCTGTGTCCAAGCCTTTGGGAGACTGAATCCAGTTCTGTGCCTTGGCTTCTATAAAGTTTACAGTCTCAGTCAGGCTGTAATGTGTGGCAGTAAGTAACATACTGGAAATATAATACCATAATACTGGAATTTGATCCATCTTATACTCAGGTGGAGTGAAAGAGAAACTTTTTTTTTTTCTTGCCTCCTTCTTCTGCCGCCCCCTACCTTCCAAAGATGAGTGGAACCATCAAGGAGAATGTTACAAGGCTTGAATGAAATGTTTACCAGAAAGTGGAGTGTGGACTTGATATATTGGGGGGTGGGGGGTGATGTGGGTTGGAGGGACTTGCACAAATTGGAAAGAATCACCCTTAATTTTTGGCCACAAAAAACAGTGAATCTTTAAATCTGTAATCATAAAAAGAATGTATTTTTATTTCCTTTTTGTTTTAACAATAAGTTTGTTTGCAAGATAATTTATCTGTATATGGAAACTTAGTACTTTTGTGTCCATCACCTTTTGATCACAGATCACTATATGTGTAATCTTTCGCTATGATTTGAGTTTTTATCTGAATATATTTGGCTTTTTTGCCTTTTTTTTTTGTACTAAATATTTTGATCACAGAATGAAAACCAGGTTTGACCATTCATGACTGTCTAAAATACCCACACCACACCATATAAAGGTTTTATAATCTTGTATCTTTCCTGACTTATTTTAAATTGCAGTGATTGAGATAATTATGAGTTTGGTTGAAGCTTTTTGTGTTGGTAGTCCATCAGAGACCCATTTGTCACTGTGTGAGGAACAGTGACAGCTGGGCTCCAGTCCCCAGCAGCACCGTTTCAAATCACTGCGCTGGATCCTTGATCTGTTAAGTATCTCCTGGGTTGGAAATTCACGCTGTGATTTCTTTACATGGCAGTAGTTTGAAGCAATACAGGTGTGTTCTCTAAAGAATTTGCCCTGATTTTCAGTTTGAGAAGAGATTTCTTGACATCTGTGTAGGGAGATACTTTTGTACATTATTTTTCTTAAACTGTGTGTGTGTGTGAGAGAGAGAGTGGCACCTTTGAAGTTAAGTGCGTGCCACAGTCGGGCAGTTTTGTGTGAACATTTTATATGAACTGGAATCAACTGTAAATAATGTTGGCAATTGTAAAAGGGGCAGCATCTCATGTTAACCATGAAACTACATGCAACAAAACATTTAAAATCCTCTTTGTGATGTGCACAAAAACTCACAGAACACAATCAAATAAAACTTCTCACAACACGTTGCTTTTGTGTTTACTTGAGATAACCAATGAGAGTAACTTAATCAATAGGCAGTTTTTTTTGCACTAAATTAGTAGGAAACTGGGGATTTTCCACTTGTCAAATTCCCTTGTCGTGGAAAACTGAGCCAAAAATGAATGAGGGAATTTATTTCCCAGATACCTGCACGTGGAGGTAACTTGTACTGATGGAAAGCATCGGGGGCGTTACTGGGCTTAAGCCTGGGTAATTTTTTCAGAACCCCTTTTGGAGTATAATTTGTTTCATAGTTTGATGCCTGACTGACAACTGTATAAAACAAAAGCTACAGACAATATTAGTTAGCACGGTGGTTAGCACTGTTGCCGCACAGCAAGAAGGTCCTGAGTTCAATCCCACCATCATGTAGGGCCTTTCTGTATGGAGTTTGCATGTTCTCCCCGTGTTTGTGTGGGTTCTCCCTGGGTACTCTGGCTTCCTCCCACAGTCGAAAGACATGCAGTTAGTGAGGATAGATTAATTGATTAATCTAAATTGCCCATAGGTGTGAATGTGAGAGTCTGTGTCTCCGTGTGTTAGCCCTTCGCCAGACTCGCAACCTGTCTAGGGTGTACTATTGACTCCAAATCTCCCGACCACTATGTCGATCTGAGACAGCGAGACCAAGACCACGTAAAAGTGGTCTCGAGACCAATACACAGCAGTATATTCACAGTTGAAACCAGATATTTACATACACTTTAGGGAAAAAACAAGAAGTTTTTTTTACTGTTAAACATCAATTTAGAGTAAACGTTTTTGTTTTAGATAAATAAATATTGAAATATCTTTTGAATTAGTTAAATGTCAGAATAAAGAGAGAGAGCTATTTTTTTTTATCACTTTTATCAAATTTAGGAGTACATATACACCAAGTTTATTGTTAATTAATAAGAAAACTCCAGACGATTCCATTCTGAGCTTAAGAAGCTTCTGATAGGTTAGTAGAGTCCATGTGAGTAAACTGGTGGCACACCTGTGGATGCATATAAGGCAAAACACAGAGCCTGTTTCTTTGACATGGGAAAATCAAGAGATGTCAACCAAAACACCAGGAAAAGAATTGTGGACCTCCATAAGTGTGGCTCAATTTTGAATACAATTTGGTGCCATTTGCAATTAAGGAATACAGACAATTTCTCTCTTTACTCTTAAAGTTACCAAATATGTTTTTTATATTTATCCATCTAAAAAATAAACATTTAGTCTGATTTGATGTTACAATTAAAAAAGTATTTGTGTTTTTATCTGAAGAGTACGTAAATATCTGGTTTCAACTGTATATTTGATGATGTTGGTGTTTGGCTTGATTGTCAGCACAGAGAGGGAGAGAGAGAATGAGGACAGAACAGAGATGGAACAAGAGCAGGTGAGACAGACATGTTAGTCAAATGGTTGTTTGCCAAAACTCAACAGAACGTGTATCTCGTACCTAGTGTATCTTTTTAGGTTTGTTATTTTTCAAATTCTATATTAATTAAGTTCTGCAGGCTTGTTTGCACAACAAGGCTAAATAGTTATATAAACTTTTCTGAATCTAAATAGTGGACTTTGGTAGAATTAAAAAATAAGTGTAGTGCAGGTCTATGATGATTTTCAGTGTTTTGATTCTGGTTCTGTCTTGGTTACGTCCTAAAGTAGTCCTGATTTTGAACTGTTGGAGTCCTGTTTTAATTCCCAATCATATGTGATTTGTTTTTCCTATATGAAGTCATTCTTTTTTGAACAAAACTCAAAACACAGCCAAATAAATCTTTCAGTCATTTCTAACACCCCCCCC